ATAAACGAAAATAGCCTCGAGGCGGAACTACGAATATTCTACGAATGCGATGCCGAAGATAATTCTCTTGGCGTATATCGTGCGATCAAACGTTCGACATAATATCCGCGAAAGAAACGACATCAAGTCTACTTGAGTTTTTCAAATCAGCAAACGTACGCTTTTATTTTTAGCGAAATCATATCTCCAACGATACGAAATAGTCTTCATTTGGGGAAAAAACTACTGCATGTTTTCAGACGTGTGTCATTTACGAGGAACACATTTACATGATACCTAGAAATTTCTTCGTTCACGAACCGACTTTATCGCCGAATTTAAATAGCTTCCGGAAATGGCATTGTCAAAGAGGGACGAGTTTTAATTGCAAGCCGCTTCACAAACCACGAACGAGAGCAGATGCTGAGTACCAGCCGAGCGTGCACAATACCTTCCCGAGGTTATTGATTGCATCTAAAGTTTTTTAATTTTTCCCGATAAAGGTTGCACCGGCAGCTTTGGGAGCGCATCGCATCCCATCGTTTCGCGGATAATACCGCTTAATTGGCGGGCGCATCATTTCGGGCAGGTAATGCTGCTTAATTGGCGAGCGGAAAACAATGCGCCGCGCAGCGTGTACGTTCATTATCCGTCGCGCTATTCTATGCGCGGTTATATCGCGCATGAAAAACCGCTCGCGGAAACGGCGTATATCCGCGCAAACGGCTGGACGGCGATTAATACGCCGCAGACTGAGTAGCACGTCGATTAGCAGTGATTCGCGGCGACGCGAATTATTATCTATCTGTGTCATCAGTGATTATCAATTAATTCGCCTGCTGAGAGGTGAACAGCAGATAGGCAACTTCACGAACGGATGATTATTTAAATAAAGTGAAAGTTTATTACTCACTTATTTAATTTTATTCCTACTCATATAAATAACGATATTCTGCACGGAAAAGCATAAAGAAGAATACATAGATCTAAGGAGACGGAAAAAGATATATATGTAGTTATTATTTGGCTATAATATATACGGCCCTTCATATGCTTATATATAGGGTCGCTTTCCACCTGCGATGGTGGTGTAATGGTCAGCATAGTTGTCTTCCAAGCAGTTGATCCGGGTTCGATTCCCGGCCATCGCAGTTTCTTTTGTTTTGATTTTCTTTCGTATCTCATTACAGCATGATAGTTACATTACTAATGAAAGTAAAGTCTAGTAACTGCGATGGTGGTGTAATGGTCAGCATAGTTGCCTTCCAAGCAGTTGATCCGGGTTCGATTCCCGGCCATCGCAGGATTGTTTTTGCCAACTGTATGTAATGTTTTCATTTTCTTTTTTATACAATTTTAAATTTTCTAACATTTTTAAATAATTTAATTAATAATTTAAAAAATATGTATTTCATCTTCTCTGATATTTCATATTATATTTAAAATCACACGAGAATCTTAGTGTATATCATTTTTTTATGTTCTAATTATAAAGGAACGCATATTATGTCAGTTTCGTTCGTGATTTCTCAAATTAATTTTTATATAACGTATTTCGAATATAATGTATTAACCCTTATCGGACGCTAGCTTTTTATGCGTGATTCTCACTAGGTTGTAGCTAATTGGATTCGGTAAATATGCGAACTTGTCACCTCCTACGTGACGTACGACCGCAGCGACGAAGTATTGTTGTCACGTGAGAGGTGACTTACGACCGATAAGGGTTAAAAATGGACATAAGACATACAGAAAGAAGGAATCTATCCTATATTTTCACAGGTGTTACATTTAAAAATAATGAATCCTTAATGATATTAATATAATATTCTAATTGTATTCTAGAAAATAACTCTGTTTTTTGTTCCTCGTTGTATAAAAAATATTCCTGGCAAAAAGATATTCCGATACCGGGAATCGAACCCGAGCCTCCTGGGTGAGAGCCAGGTATCCTAGCCACTAGACCATATCGGACATATTATACTACATTGCTACTGTGGCAGATTAATAGAATTAACAATTTATTACTTCATTAATTTATTAAGGCTTTATAAAATATTTTTCGTAAACTAATATATACATCTAAATGAATACGTCTAAATGAATATGTCTAAATAAATACGTTTAAATGAATATGTCTAAATATGTTGAGTCAACTAAAACGTTTGGGTCAACGTTGAATCAACTAAAACAATTTTTTAATTAAACTTAACTTCACTGCATTCGACAGAAATGAATTTATCGATCAAGCAATCACCGGTGTTATTTATGATTACCATTAAAGAAGATAGAAAATTAAGTTGAACTTTATAATTGATCTAATACAATATTAAATTTACATAAACGATAAGACTGTCTTTCACAAAACATTTCTGCTTGATCTTATAGTAAAAATCGTTACATGCTCTCCTAATAATCTTTAAAAAATGTATTCTTCAAATAAGTCTCATAAACATCATAATTTTTTATTTTTATCTACTTTTATCATATCTTTATAGAGTAGCCACGATCTGAGTAATTATCTTTAGAGTTTCCCTTTATTCCATATTTCTCTTGGTATTTCTACTTATTACAATCTGTAAAGCACAATAAGTCCGATATGGTCTAGTGGCTAGGATACCTGGCTCTCACCCAGGAGGCTCGGGTTCGATTCCCGGTATCGGAATATCATTTTGGCAGGAATATTTTTTACACAGGATACTATTTTTTTTTGATACTTCTATTTTTTATATTTTTCCTGAATCTTCACATGTTTGCTTGAAACATTGTTTTAAGAAATATTCATCAACATTATTCTGAATTATTGTAAATAGAAGTTAGTATAGAATTTCCATAATTTAGGCTGAGCATAGACTAGATATTTTTATGCCATTGTGAAGCAAAACTTTGATACAAATACCTGTTGAGGTCCCCGCAAAATCGAGCTATTGAAAGAGAAAAAGAATAAGTATTAGGAAAGGGAAGTATCGGAACAAAAGAATAGCGGAATTGGAGGACACAAAGATGGGAAAGGAAAACTGTGTTAAATCCTACGTCTTAAGACGATTATGTTATGTTAGAATAGAAAAACGATAGAAAAAAATTGTAGTATAATCCGAGATAAAAAGATAAAATTCCTACAAAAATCTTATTACAAACGTTAGAAGAATAATTCTAACTCTCTTTTTTATCGTTAGTCAAGGTAAATCATTTAATATTTCGTTTGAAAATAATTAAAAAAATATGCATCAAATAAAAAAATGTTTCGATTCCTTTGTTTATTTTGCGTATAAAAATATCAGGGGAAGATTATTGAAAAATGAATATTTTTACTTTATATTCTAATATTAGTCAGTTCAAAAAAATATGAAATATCTAATAAAATATTTACTTTTCGATATCATAAAATTTTTGTATATAAAATGGTATGTGAAATCGATCGTTGTAAGAAAAACCTTAAAAAAATGTATTACATTTTACAAATATATCGATGTACCAATGTACAATGATTAATACCAGTAATTCTCTCATATTATTATGTAGAAAACTGTCACACTAATATTATCAAAAAGTGCATACTTTATAAGATATTTCATTTTCATATTGAAAAATATTAGAATAAGAGCAAAATATCTCAAAAAGTATTCACTTTTCGATAATTTTCCGCTAATATTTTTATACGCACAATGACCAGAAGAATCGATATGTGTAAAAAAAAAAACTATATGACTATATAAAGAAATATCATCTAAAAATAATTTAAGATCACAATGTTATATCCCCCTCGAAACTAAACAACTTTTGTTTGAGACATTTTTTCGTTTGATGCATATTTTTTAAGTTATTTTCTCAAATAACATATTAAATGACTCACCTTGTATATCTCTGCAGAAAACAATTGTGGCAGCGGGAAAACAGGCATTATCCTACTACGGTCTTTTCACCACTATCGGATTATCTTCATGAAAGCAGTTTTTGAAAAACAAAGAAAGATTTAACAATACTATACACCACAAAGTGGCATTGTTATATTCAATGTCACGCGTCATGTCACAATGTCATTCAATCATCTTGTGTTTGACAGAACGCGTTGCTAACCGCGCATTATAACCGTTTTTCCCACAAGCTCGTGCTAGAGCGGAAAACTACAGATTTTTAAACTGCGCGGGAAAAAGGTATACACGACTATATGATGACATAGCTATTTTTTGTTTCAGCTTAAGAACGGTTCTAGGACTACGAGGATCATTTAAAAAAGAAATAAATTTCATGTTCTTATTAATACCTCTAATATTATAAGAGATGTGGGAGAAATATTAGATAAAAAATTGAATAGCGATTTACGTTATATATAATGCTATAAAAAGAAATAAACTAAGAAATTAAAGGATAATGGAATAAACGTATTGACGAAAAAATTTGTTTCTTAACTTTCTTGTTGCAAACTTGTGGCTAGTATTTCAAAGACATATTATGAGAAATATGAAATATCATATTTAGCTGAAATAAAAAAATAGCTATATTGTTACGTTCATAAAAAATTCGCACAAATTTTTCAAAATTTAAGTTTATAAATATTAACTTCCATTGTTTCAAATTTTCGCTCGAGTTTTCTCGTTTTTCGCTATCGTTAAATTCATACGTTTGTCTCAATCGAATTGTTTGTTGCCTCTTAAATTTATTTACGTTTCGCGCGTACAAGTTCATTTATGTCTTCAGAGACTTCATTGTCTTCAGAGACTTCATTGTGTCTTATAATTTTATTTAAGTTATAGACAAAGTCAAATAATCGAGGTGTTACGCAGCAAATTTCAATTTATCTTCCTTTCTTCCGTTCAGACGTATCATCTTTTTTTCACTCTACCGTTTGACACTTTCAAATCTTTCAGATTTACTATTTTTCAGGGTAGGGCATAACGAAACGCTATTCGTTATACGCACCTGACTTTATACCAATGCGCATGCGAGTTTCGCCTTCCTCCACCAACTACCCGGTATGTCTGCCAGTCGCTTGTGTGCCGTCCACTCTATAACTCGTGAAACAACGCTGAAGCGATTACTCAGATTTTCGAACAAAGAACGCGTACGTTCGAGAAACATCGCAGGTGAACGTTCAAAGGTAAGAATCTTTCTCATTTTTCTTAATCTTATTTGAAATTCTGTCTTCCGCGCATCTCGCGGCCGTACAAACCGAGATGCTACTTAGACAAAGGTCGATTTTCGGAGTCATCGACCGACGCCACTCTTTACGATACTTCTTTTATTCTCAATATTATACTGACATAATTCACAATATATACGCGGCATTGTAAAGTCGCATGCAGCCGCATCACATTGAACAATCTTCATCGAATAGGTTAAAACGATCGATTCTGTTCAAAATTTCCTGAAAGACATGCTTCACGTCCGCGATTGACATTTTTACAAATAAGAGAAAGAAAAATTTTGTTCGTATTATAATTGAGACAAGACCAATGGTTACCTTCTATAGTCCGCGTCGCGATAAAATTAGCAATTGGGGAATCCCGTTAAGATTTCCTGTTACGGAGTGTCCGTCGAAGTTAATGTTACGAATTTTTGGACGAATAAAATCGGTTCGGATTAAATTTTTAAATCGAATTTTCATTTGGCTCTACTAATAATTCAAAATTATGTATGAGATTGAGGATTGCAATATACTCAAACAACACGTATGTCTAAAAGTTAAAAACGTTTTTTAGACATTTTATTGTTTATTAAAATACGTTTTTACGATGTCTTAGAGTGTCTTTATCTGAGTATTATTAAAAGATAAATGATTCCTGCTTATTTTCTATTTGTGACACTATTTACGCATAAATTTTCCATGAGTTATCTAAACAATCGAATTTTTAGGCAATGCAAATCAACCCTTAATAGTACAATTCATTGCCGATATATTGGTCCAATACTGGTTATATTGTATTAATTGGGAGTATATTAAACGAATGTTGCCCAATATAAAGTCAACCAGATAGTCAAACCTGCAGAAGCAGAATTTGCATAGTATTTGCTATAAATTTTGTTAATAGCTTATGCAAAAATATAATAGGATTTGCTAGCAGAATCTAATAATAGATTAATCTGTTATTATGCTTTGCTAACAAATCCTGTTATATTTTGCTAGTAAGCTATAAAAAAACTGATAGCAGATACTATGTAAAATCTGTTTTTACATGTTTGATTGTCTGGCTGACTTTATATCGGGCAACATTCATTCAATATATTTCCAATATAATCAATATTGGACCAATGTATCGCCAATGAATTGTGCCATTTGGAAAATCACGCATTCCGCGTTTAGTTTTCAATCAAATTTCGAATATTTCGAAAAGTTGGATAGATTATAATAAATTTTCGGAGTCATCTATCGACGTCACTCTTTCGATATTTCTGATTTGACTCTCTGAAAATTTAATCTTGCAATCTGAACTCTGAATTGCGTGATGCGCGCGCGTGCGTACGTTCGTGTTGGTTGACTACCGAAAAATTCAAAACATTTTGATTTAAAGCATATTTTTTTATATTTTATATTCATATTTAAATAAATTATACTAAAGTATAAAATAAAAATGTTATATGGCGAACTTTTTCATTTTGAAAAGCTTATAAAGCAGATTTTAATCACGCTGTTCTATAAAAAAATAAGTTTTAGCGGAAAAAGGATAGCGAAATATTGATAATGATATGTTAGAGCGATATGACAAATTCGTGAGAGAATTTTATTCGAAATGTTTCGCCGCTATTATTTCGAATTGTCGTAGAATAATGTATCGTAATATATTATCATAATTATGAACCTGTAAATATTTTTAAGTGCTGGAATTATCTGTAAACAACGAATATTTATTCATTTTAGATAAAAACCTAAATATTTTCTATGCAATACAAAACTTCAACGCAAAATGGAAAGTTCACACAGAACTATTCTTGAACGCTTACGGAAGAAGATAATTCTCGATTTAGACGTAGATAATGATATTATACGCCCTTTGAAAGCCGAATTTATTTTACACGACAGAGATGTGGAACGCATCAATGCTGGAACTGATAACCAGGCTAAAGCTAGCATTTTGTTGGATATACTTCCAGGGTATTTATTTATTGATATTCGTTACTTAATATTCATACGTATCATTATGTAAATATATACGTTTCTGCTTTTATATCGATGCTATTGTACGCAGTAATAGAAAATAATAATTATATATGTCACCATTCACATTTGCAGTTTGCATTCCGATTTAACCATATAACTTGTAACTAACATAATCAAATTTCAATAACATTTTTAAGATGTGGCCCACGCTCCTTCGATATCTTTCACCAAGCATTAAAACATCATTACGAGTGGCTTAGCGACGCTATAGATGAGTTGCTCAGTAACGACAAAGCAGAAAGAAATGGGGTAGATTGTTGTTACGCAAGCATACCACCCATTTCCCCGCTATCAGTTACTAGAGAAGAAAAGGTATGATTCTCGCCTTTTATGTGATATTAAAATGAGTCACTCAGATCTCATTGATATAGCGGGTAATCATCAATATTCGTGATAAGATAAAACTATGAACCATCGATGTTTATCATATTTTGCTCTCTCTCTCTCTCTCTCTCTCTCTAATATATTATGTACCTCTAATTTTATACTCTATTATTACTGTTTAAATTGATCGAGTTTTTTGTTTCTTAAATAATACAAAGAAAATGAAATTTTTTTGTAATTTGAAATAATCATCGTTGATTCTATGTTGTAAAAACTAATTTGTTATAATAAGCATCGTTGATTCTATGTTGTAAAAACTAATTTGTTATAATAAATAATTTAATTCTTATCTAGTTTAATTGTGTCTCTAAACGCATACGTATGGAAACATAAATCGTGTAAGTTTATGTAGTTCATCTCGTAGCACTGTCACTATATATTCTACCATTTTTGCACTTAATATATTGTAATATATTAAATACTAATATATGAAAGCTGTTTCTTATATAATGCATCGTGTTTGCAGATTATCCAGTTAAAAAATGCTTTGCAGCAATTAAAGCCTGGGGAATATGTTACGTTACATAGTATGAAAGGATTTGGAAAGTCATGTTTAACTGCTCTTACGATGAAAGACATGAAATTAGTGACAAATCTGTTCGCAGTAAGTTTCATGTTGACTACAATGTTTATATAATATTATGCACAACCGTGATCCTCTTTTTTTATTTTCTCATTTAAGTGCCAGGTTTATTGGATCAAATTTGTTTGTGAACGTCCGGTCGACGAAGAAATATTAATTCAATTAAACACGCTATATCACAATGTGAAAAACTTAAAAATCCAAATAGAAGTATTCACTCTGCTGGAAAAAGATTCCTTGATCCGGTTTTTGGAGCATTATTTCAGTAAACCGACCAATCAAAATGCCTTATTAATTTTAGACGACGTTTTCGACAAGAAAATTATCAAAGCTTTTGATTTTAATTGTAAGACATTAGTTCTTACCACCGACATTGATGTTTTAGACGGGAAAAGTATCAAGCAAACAATAAAGGTAACGATATCTATATTCTTCATTCTGCTGTACTTTTGCTTGAGGATATTTATCCCAGAGCACTGAATAAAAAAGCTTCAATAATTTTTTACTATATTGCATACACTAACAAAGTATGTGTTTTTTTTTCCACAGTTGGATGACGGATTTACAGAAGCTGAGACTCTCGGTTTATTCGCTCAAGTGTTGGATATACCTGTAAACAAATTACCCCCAGAAGCAAAGAGTATTCACAGAGAATGCAAGGGAATGCCGTTACTCATAGCTATGTTTGCGGCACACTTTGAACAATTTAAAGAAGACATGGTGGATGGAACGCGTGATAGATGGAAATATTATCTAGAATCTTTGAGAAAAAAGGATCCGAACAACAGGTGAGAATGTTATATAACTAAGTTTCTAACTTATAAAAGGATCCGAACAACAGGTGAGAATGTTATAACTTCTAAATGTTCTATCAGTTATTCACAACACATTGTTATTATCGTATCTTATTACAGAGTAATCAAAAAGTTCTTAGAAAAGCAAGAGATTATTTTTGATATGTGTATTGATCAACTGAAACCAGATTTGAAAGAGCAGTACAAACAACTAGCTATTTTCAATGAAGATGTTAACATAACGCGAAATGTAAGTGTCGACAACATCTATTCGATCGTAACAACGAATCAACACGTATCGTTTCTTAAACGCAAGATACGTTTTCATTTTATATGCGACTGAATAAAACTTTTTCCAGGCGTTACAAATTATCTGGAATCAAAGCATATTCGACGTGGATGAACTGATGCTGGATCTGTGTCACAAATCACTTGCCGCGAAACAATGGAACAAGGACACAAAGAGCTACATTTACGGTGTGCACGATTTACTGTTAAGCCATCTGCGGAAAAAATTAAAGCCGGACGAACTGACACAGTTGCACAAGTCGGTTGTTGAGAAATATCGTAAATACTGCAACAACGATTTCTCAAAGTTACCGAACGACAATTACATATATTCCTACATTGGCCACCATTTGGAACAAGCCAAGTTGTACGAGGATTTCCCGAAACTTTACTTGAACTTTGATTTTATCCAAGCTAAAATAATGCACTCAGGTTTGAGCGATCTATTGCTAGATCTAACGAAATATCGCACGTACATAACGTGTGACAGCAATAAGGAATATGTCTCCGACTTGGAAACATTTCTCCAAGAGCAAGTGAGCGTTATAGCAGAACACAGACGCAAAAAGTGCCTCGATATAATCCAAATCGCGATGAATTCCTTGCACGAAGGTTATATCACCCAAAAGGCAAGAGATCTGGCTACAGAAAGACAAAAATATCTTTATTTATCTCACGATAAAAAGCCCGCGCAAACCAATACGGCGCTCAGCGAGGAGATGTCAACTGAAATATGTATATCATCCTTCACGGACGATCCTAACTTGATTTTAACTGGGTATACCTCAGGCAAAGTAATTTTGTGGAACTGCGAGAACAAACAACAAACTGCCTTCAACAGTCGCAGTAACGAATCTCCCGTTAAAAAGATCGTTGTATCCGAAGATGGTAACGAATTCCTAATATTGACCGACGACGGCGTGGTAAAAATGTTCCATCTATCCTATGATGAACAAGATTATCGATGTTGTACGCGCGTACGTAGTCCCAAGGAGAAGCAAGCGAGTTGGACCGGGTTCTTTACAAACGACAATAATCAGGACGACAGTTTATCGAAATTGTCGATCAACGATGAAATTATATTGGACGTGATATTCGGGAACGAGGATGAATTCATCGCTACATGTACCAACACAGGAGAGATACAGGTACTTAGTATATAATATTATGAATAAATTGTATTAATATTTTATAAATATTTTACTTTTCTTATTACGCCGTGCAATTTTTACGAAGTGAAATAAGTTGCACTTGTTACCATATTATAACTGGATATTAGAAATTGTTACGTTATACAAATTGGCATTGAGCAGATAAAAGCGAGAGTGAGTGTGGTGGCCGAACTCACGTTACAGATGTGCGATATTGCGTGTAACAGTCGGAGAGAAAATATATTGAGAGCGCAAGATTGCTGAGCTAAAAAACGAACCCGAGATTTTTCGCTTACCGGGTGACTGCTCTTACCAACTAAGTGTGCTTTATCTTACAATATAACCTAGAGTGCGCGCGTACGCGTCGCGAACGAATCAAGACCACATGCGCGAAAAAAGCTGGCAAGTGTCATTTGCGGCTAGGTTCGTTGTGACCGTTTTCGTGCTGAAAGTGTCTTTCTATCTTTATTGCTCACTACACATGCTTAAAAAGACAAAATAATGCTTTCAGCACGAAAGCGTCCAAATAAACTTAGCCTGAATAACATAAATCAGGCAGCGTATTTAGAGATCGAAAATGGACAGTGTAATCTTAATTATACGACGCAATGCTATACGTAGTGTTTTTGCGTAGTTATTCCGTTTGTGACAAAAGTGTTTATTTCCGGTTAAAAATGTCAAGCTGGTTGAGAAGAATGCATTTTACCACAAACTCTACAAGACAAATGTTGCAATTTAATATACATAATGATTCTAGCCAAGTGTCTCTTCATTTCAGATATGGGATCTGGATGGTAAAATCATATATAAGATAAATGACAAAAATCTAAAATCGTAAGTACATTTATACTAATATGATATATTATGAATTACACTATATTATGATACACACTAAAAAAACATTTATTTGTGAAATATAAAGTTTATTTCATAGAAATAAACGTTTATTTAAATATGGCGAAACAAAATTGTATTTCTAACAAATAAACCAATAAGAAAATTTAGATACATTTCGTCATATCTCAGACAAATTTTTTTTCTAACCAATAAATATCGAAGAAATGTCATAAAAAACATTTACTTTGTAAAATTTCAGTTTCATTTTCTCAGTATAAAGAGATGCCGAAATCGATTCTCAGTGTAGACTGAGAAACTCATTTAGACTCAAACAAAATGCTTGTTCAGATATAGACAAATAAATATTTCTGTTGTAAGAACCAAAGTTTGGTTCTCTCAAGCGAAAATGAAAAAGATTTTGTTCAGTGAACCCAACCTTTAATTCAGAGAATCAAATTTTGATTCTCACAACCAAAACATTTGTTTATTCATATTCAAGCAAACATTTTGTTTGAGTTAATAGGTTTCTCAATATACATTATCGAGTTTCCTTATCAAGTTCATCAAAGGCTATTCTTAATAGTAATCTAAATACTTAACAGCATTTCCTTCATAATAATAATATATGGTAATGAATGATTATATGTAACTCGCCGTGTATTATTTGCAGCAATTCAATTACAAAAATAGCATTCACTGATAAGGGTATGCTGTTACATGTCATGAATGAATCGAAGGGTTCATTCTGCGTGTACTCCAGAGACAGTACTGTTCACAGCAAATACAATTATGTCAGCTCTTATAATATACATGAGAAACAGGTTATTTATTTCCATAAGGTGCCTTTGCACGATAATTCCTTAATGATCGTGACAACTAAGAGAGCTCTTTATGTAAAGTGGGTGCAAGTGACAAACCAACAGTCAATATGCAACTTTATAAAACAGGAAAGGGCATATGTAGAAAACGATACAGTAACCTATATCTGTGCTGCTATTACCTATGATGGAGAGTTTTTGGTTGTGGCTGATTCTGCTGGTTTTATCAACATATGGCATACAGATGTTGGCCAGCCTATTGCAACATATAAGAATCATGTCACGTCTCTAGATACTTATTGGTTCAAGGATCAAGACTATCATCTTGTGTGTATATTATATTGCTACTAGAATAAATGTAATTCGGATCTGAGTTTATGCTCAGGGTTTAACAAAATTTCTTTGTTTTTCAGATATGCGGAAGCAGAAACAATTTGCTACACAGATGGAAATTGCCAGTGCATATGTCACCAGCATTAGTAAGGTAATATATTATCAGAGATTGCTCCTGCGACCGCGCGTATAATACCTTATAGCTTGTATTAAATCAGTAAAAAAAAATCAGTTCAATCTTCAATAGATGACTATGTACATGTATGTATAGGTAACAATACTGCTAATGTTCGGTTGTTTATTGACAAAGGATCATAGACAATGAAAACAATATTACTTGGTTGATGATTTATTTGTTCCTATTGAATATAACGAAATCAAATTTAATCTAAGAATCGAAAAAATTTTTTAACTAATCCGATATTTCATTTTCTAAATTCTATATTAAATTCTCCCTATTCTCTTTCTATTAAATCAGGAAATCCCTATTTGACGCTATTGTTCAACCTTATGGCAAAGAGGACATTATAGTGAAAGAAAGCTACACGAATCATATGGTAGTATTGCGTGGGGAAACAGAAATAGGAAAATTCACGTATATCTCAACAGTAGGTAAAATATCGAGCGTGAAATTGTTTTGTAATGGAGAAAAAGTGTTGTACACCTTAGAAAAGAAATTTGTGTCGATCAACAACAACAAGCTCATGATATACGATATACAAACTGATAAGTCATTTGCCATTTTCGAATCAAAGAACCACATAGAATTCGATATTTTAAACATTGATGGTAATGATATAATCGTCAGTAGAGATACGGACAACAGTTTGAGGGTATGTAATACTAATTCACGACTCAGATATATGTGAAATTCAATAATAAATCTGATAATTCAACGTACGAATGATCGATGATTCATATTTTTTATAGGTATGGCAAAACCCTAAAGTGACATACTTGATAGATACTACAGGAGGAGGACGAGTTTCATTTATTCACAAACTGAACGATAACTATGTGATAACGATCACGCAGAATGGTACCATATTGATCTGGTTTGTAGATCAACCAATCTGGCTGAGAGGAGACCGAAAAGATATTCCTAGTTCAGCGGATACAAGCATCTCGTTTAGTTGTCTGAGTCATCTGAAAACTTATTTAGCAGTTTTCAAAAAATCGAAGGCAAGGAAATGCATACTGTATCTCATCACCTTCTATGAAAACAAAGATTTAGTGCCACAACGTATAGAAATGGAAGTTTACCTCACTCATAGTTTCGCACAGGAAGTAACCTGTTGCGACATTTCGCAGAATGACCAATATATCGCCGTTGGTCTTGAAACGGGATTAATCTCTGTAAGTTTATTTCACGGTCGTCATAAGTGGTAGGCGCGCAAGTGGTGTATGTTGTGTTCAAACGAATTTAACATCGAATATTCTTCTAGATTTTCGACATACAAGAAAAGAAGGAGATACAACAATTGAGCTTTCATTATAATCCTATCAAGCAATTGTCTTGGGGCCCGATTGCCTTAGAGGCACCGATTCTACTTTCATTAGCGGACGACGAGCTAGCTTGGTGGAACGTTTCTCTAAATAATAAAGTCAACGTGAAGAGAAGAAGTCGAATGGGCATTACTCAGAGCAATAGCACCCCTTCGTTCAATGCAAATAACACATGCCCGATAAAAATGCCTAATAGCCAAAGCTTAAATGCCAGTGTATCTAATTTACAACATAACACGGAATCAAGCGCGGATATGAACAGCGTCGACTTTACATGTACAAATTGGAAGGACAAGGTAAGCAAAGATCCCGAAATACCAGCATTGCTAGCGGCCGTTGAACTGTCACACTGTCGGACCGAAAAAGTATGCATCTCCCCGGATTTCACTAAATTCGTCATGGTTGATATTTACGGGTCCGTAAGTACATTTCAACCATTTCAACCATTATTCAAACATAATACTTGCAAGTCCGTAAATACACTTCAACTGTTTAGCAAACTTGATAAAAAATGCGATCTATTATAAAGGCTGTGTATAGCATTAATTTGAATGCAATTCTTCGGAATGTGCAATTATACATGTGATAAAAGATTGCTTTACGCAGCAGAATAAATATAATTTCCATGTGGATTTTAAATCACATGTAAACATTTGTACATATGATAATATTATCGTTGAAGAAAACGAAAAAAATAAAAGATCATCATATAAGATAGTGAAGCATGGATCACATTAAGATACACGTTATCTTCATGGGATAATAATATCATAACGCGAGTTACCACATGTTACCGCGTACGATAAAATGTGTACATATTTAGGTACATATATTCCTGTTTTATACTTTGACTATGTATGATACTGCCACTTGCATTTATCAAAAAATTCAGACTCGTTTTACTATATATATACATATTTACGAAAAATAATAAACCAATTTTGACACGCATTTTTATCATGAATTTCAAGTCGAATTTTTAGCCAATACAAGAACAAGGAACAAACGAGAATGCTTTCTATAAATACATGAGTTCCTTGTGTAAATCTTTTATATAGAATATCCCAGTTCTCATAAGAGTTCAATTAATATGATAGTTTCCTATAAATTCAAATAACAAAAATTCCAACATAGAATGTCGATATATAACAATTAGTAAATTAGTAAACTATTATAGCCTCAACATTCTATGTTAGGATTTTCGTCTCTATTTGTACCTAAGAAACTATCATATCAATTAAAATCGCGAAAACTGAAACACCCCATATGTTTGTGCCATTTGTAAAACCTATAGAAAAATTTCTCTAGTTGCCAAATATACATATATAATAGATATATTTCCATGATTATGGAAACGATTGTGTTTAAAATAATTTTTGGTAAATGCTACATTTTTATACTTTCCCCTATGTATTATTTTATATTTAAGAATATATTATACTTTAATTATGTATTACTAGTTAGCATAGTTTTATCTCGATATTAGTAGAATGTACAAGGGTGAACATATGTAGATTACTGATGTCATTTATGGTATCTCCGATCTTCATATATGTTATCAAGGAAATGATCCTGCATAACAAAGTTTTAGTTGGAGATCATTGCTTTTTAAAGTTATGAACAAAAAAGTTTGAAAAACGTAACATTTATTCTCAATCTTGAATGATATAATTTAATGTAAGAATGACGATATACAAGTGATCATGGGGGAGGAGTTTCGCCCCGCCCTGCTAGTTAATTTAACGTAACCTAACCCAAACTTATTTCCTCATGAATAAAAGTTGTATCCAATATTATGATATCTCATCTCTTCATCGAATCATGAATTGTTATATATATGAAGAGATATGTGTTATGAAGAGAGAGTTATATTTGTATAGAGAGGTGTGTCAAAGGTCGCATCAGTATTTTACATATTTTATTTTTTATTTGATAACTTGAATATGTTTCTTTTCATTTGTAGACATTTACATTAACGAACATTCATCAAAGATGTGTTCGTTAATGTAAATGTAATGTATACTTTATTAAGGTAATTATATATCGTTAATTTAACCGTTTGACTGCTAAGCGATTCTGGCGAGAACGTTCGAAAACTGCGGGACATATTTTGACTTGATATTGTCAAATAAAACACTCTCATTTAGACAAATATCAATCAATTTTAATAATTCTTTTCGTATTATAAAGAAACAATATTAATTGTGAATGTGAATAAGAAAAAATAAACATTAAATTGTTTTTTTCTTTGAAAATTAAAATTTATAAAAAGATAACTTAAAGTTTATTGATCTTCTCTTATGATCAGCACGTAAAGGATCATTTTGATTAGGGGAAGATCACTGACTCTTACATGAAAAATTTATGTATAACAACTATGTTTTGCCGCATAAATAGCGTGAAGGCCTTTTTTGCAACAAGCGCAAATAAGGCGGGATCGCTTGATCCCGCTCCTTCTGTTGCTACACACCGTACATTGTCGTAAGTTACGTCCCGGTAATTTTTCAAGCGCAAATTTTTTGGTTGATGAAGATGGTTGTGTTGACACGCTATTTTTATGATTCATCCACTCCTTTTCGATATCGTCAATAATTTTCGATGTAAATTTGAGCCGGTTCATTTTTTTTCCGGTAGTGTTGGAAACATACAAAATATAAGAGTTCAGCACCATTCTTCCAAATATGTTGATATGATGAATTATAATAATGCTATCATCACTAGTGGTGTCTGTTCTTTCACCATCCTCAGAATCACTAGCAGTCGAATCAACGTCCAAAATAAGAGCCCGTGACATGGTTATTTTTTAAAAATAATATATAAAAACGGTAAAAAGTTATTTTAGAATGCACTCGTTACCTACTTTACAAAGTACGCGTGAGGTCAGACTACGTTCACACCCACGGAGCAACAAAGATACACTGAAACTCGCAGCGCAAAAGCGCTGCGTCGCGGTTTTCGAGACAAATGAACGCAGCGCTTTTGCGCCGCGTAGCAGTCAAACGGTTAATGATGACTGTTGGTCGTTGGAAATTTGTAAATATTTTCTGTGACACACACACACACACACACACACACACACACACACACACTTATTATTACTCTTTCTAATATATTAATATTATGCAACATTTATACGTAAAAGATAGAATGATACATGACAATATGTAAATATATCATGCAAAAATGGTAAAAAAAAAATTATAAGATAACGGAACAATGTAGTTCATGGATTATATATAAACGCACACATGTACATTTCATTTCTTTTTTGCGTAATTAATTACGATTATCGCAACTTTATTAATGGCTCGTTACCTTTTTTAACAAACCGATATGTTCCTTTATATGTACGTGTGTGTGTATATTATATTGTAAACTAAATGATGTGTATGACTTGCATAATATGCAACAATTTTGTCTTAATAACCGTTTATTTTATAACATAGTGGCAGTATTTCTTTATATCGTTAATTTTTAAGCATTGATTTTTGTACCAGTGTTTCTCTCGGTGTTGTATTAAAAACATTGCGAGAAAAAAGACTGATGAGCATGACAGTTTCTAAATTTTACTAGATTCATTTTTCAGTTAAATATTGTTGTCATGTATATTGTAATATGATAAGTCAATGATGTAATAATTTGCGCGATAAATTATGGAAAAAATGTCGTAAATTCGACGTGCATGTGCCTTATGGATATGTACAATATGTCTAAAAGGACAAGTTAATTATATAAATATGCGATTATGTAAATAAATTTCCGCATATATATATACTTATATTCACGCGATTCTGTTGTCATGTCTAAGCATTTATAACTAATGGTTTCTTTGGTGCGAATCACAATCAAACCGCATCTAATTCAACATGTACTGATGCTGATAGAGTAAGCCTCATTTGTTTATTTTGACATGTACTGATGCTGATAGAGTAAGCCTCGTTTGTTTATTTTGACATGTACCGATGTTTATCGACACAAGTAATAAGTGATTAGATACGAGACTTTTTTCCAGTTTAACGAAATCTATCGTTGCGAATATATCTAGAAATAAGTGATTGAAACGATTGAACGTAGTCAAATATTCTGACTCTGAGCTCAATTCTATCTTTTTTTATTTCATTTTATTATGCGTAAACAATTTATTATACGTATACTTTATAATTTTTATATTTTAATAACTGTTATAAAAGCGTACCAAAAAAAGATATCAATAAAAAGTTCTACGCGAAAACAGGATACTTTTTTTATATATGTCATCTCTCCCTTTCTCTTTCCGATACCGATACGTGTGCTTTAATTATAAGTCATCTAAATTGTATAGGAATATTACAATTTTCCCCTCATGTAAGATGTATAAAGAGAATTTATTAGAAATATTTCAGAAATATTTATTAGAAATATTTTAATCAATATCAAGAGTGACTCTCACTATGAGAAGACTGCTTTTTGAAACGTAATCCGGAAAGCGTAGTGTGGATATATATCAATACGGAACAAACACATTTGGTGTTTTATTAATAGACAATTGTGACTGTCGTAAACGACTTGGCGAGCATCCCGAGTATCCGATTGGGAACTCTCGGCCAATGTCAGTATTCTTCTGCAAGGTCGCTCATTCAAGTACCGGTATACCAGTATATATGACTAAATATAACTCAATTCATATCGCATAATAAATCGAGACGAATCATGTCACAGGGCAATTCGAATTAATAGGTCTGTTCTTTTTCGCTGAACTTGTACACTTATAAAACTTAAAAAAAGATATATACAGTCAAGAATTGGGGAAAGAAAGAAGAGAAAAGAGAATACAAGCTACTGCAGTTCAGCCAAAAGAACAAAAATATCTACTATGAACTTTAAGACATTATCATTAGTTTTTTGCTTCAAATTAGTGCACGGGAAGTGCGCGGAGGTAACTGATACGATAAAACACCTTGTCTGAAACAAAAAATCAACAAAAAGAAAAATAACTGCCTCAAAGCTTATATTGATCTGATTCGCCTCGGTCTATCCTAATTCATAATTGAAATTATATTTACTGAGAAGAAAAATATTATTTACATTTCCTACCGTTTCATATAGAGCTTTTCATTTGTTTCACAATAAAAAATTTATTCTGTGCGATAATAGTATTATTCGTGTAAAATGAGCCGCTTCGGTGATTAAAAAAAAGACTATTTGTGATGTATTTAAATATATCCATGTTGTGTAAATAGTATGACAATTTTTCAATTTGTGTACTTACCGCCCAAATTTCCCATCGATTAGCTTCTACCTGTGAGATTAGTTTCGCCGTGTACCTCCGCTGCCAACTTTTCATTTTGGAACAGCACTGCATTGCAGGTCGCCGCATCGCCGATATCATTGTTCAATAAAAAATGTTCAATCTAAAACGTATCGCTGTTAACAGTTATCAACGCGACGCGATATTTCACTCAGCACTCCTGACGTTCTTTCGCGGCGCTCGACGATATTTTGCTACGACGAACGTGCCTCTTACTTAACTTCAGCACTTCCGGCGACAACTCACGTGAGATTCGCTTTTAACGAGCCAAAAATATAAACGGCAGCGGTTTGAATAGCGAACCGTCACTACGCAATGAACGATAACTGATTCGGCATTCCCGACAGACGATTACGCGAGACGACCAATCCCAATGATTATTTGACGATGTTCGTCACGACAATGTGCGAAACTTACGGTACTCCCGACGACAATTTAAACACGAGGCTCACCTTGGACGAGGCGAGAAATACGGAGCAGCGATTTCGAAACCGCACCATGATTCTCCCTGGAACTGACGGAAGCGCGTAACGGTTGAGTTACTCGAAATATCGCGTTACGCGCGGCACTTCACTCGGCACTTCCAACGGTCATTTCTGCGATATGCCCATTTTGGAAGTCATTGGCGATATTTCGCTACCACAGTCGCACGAAACTTATTTTCGGCTCTCCCGGCGACGATCCACGCGCGAGATTCGCTTCGGTAAGCCGAAAATATAAAGGATAACGATTCGCCGTAATATGACGAATGTGTGTTACTTCGTCCGACACCCTCGTCCGAAGTCGTTACGCGAAATGAACACTTTCCGGGATTATTCAACGATATTTCATCATCACAACGCAAGAGGCTCACTTACCGCATTCCCGGCGACAGTTCAGGGGCGAGACTCACCCTCGATAGGCGAAATAAACGGTAGGTACGAAACGACTTTTCGAACATGACGTACCGCTATGCGCCATGTCGTAACCGACTACACCGAATTGAATATGTCGCGATTGAGTTTCTCGAAATATATCGAAATCACCATTGCACCGTGTTCCTGCGCACACTTCTTCTTATAGTGACTCGTACATTAATTGTAAATCTCGTTATTCAAGACACTTATGTTCAAGAGTGTGGCTATTATGTAGAGTTACTTAGTATAGAGCCACTCGAACGCGTTTCATTGGACAGCATTGTTGTTACCGACTATCTTACGACCAATCCGTATAAATGTCCGAATATCTTATAATCCTTATAACGTGATATAAAGTCAAATTCAGTGAATTAATACCGTATCATGCAGATTAATTTTCCAAGTACCGACAATCGTCGGTAAAGCCGGTGATTTCAGTAACGTCCCGCGGCTGCGCGTACGATGTCGCGCAACATTCCGAGAGAACAGCTCCACCAACGATTCCCTAGTCGTGACTCGTAGAGTCGCTAGCTGTACGGCGGGAAGAGAAGAAGCGATCGGGGGGAATCAACCAACCGCTTTTGAGCGTCGCGACCGTCGCATTTCACATTTCTCAGTTGCAGCGCGCGGATCGTTGCACCGGTGCGCCCGCCTACCAGTCAGTTTTCCGCGATCATTTGATTTGCGATCGTTCGCGAGTGAAGGGGTCGAAAATTAATGAGCGACGATGTCGGTAATCTACAAGAATTCGATGAACGCCATCGGCAAATTCGTGCCCGAGAAGCTGCAGCCTCTTTGGAAACATCCAGCTGGTCAGTAAAGTGGTTGGTCGATCGTCACGTCCGGCTGTGCCACGGAAGGTGGCACGTGCGTAGATTAATCGTACGCGCGTGTGTTGAGTGATGCGCTCGAGAAAAATGAGAAGAAAATGCATACATGGCGAATGACCTGCGTATTTGTTGTTTAAACAACGCTTCCTTATCCGAGAAATCGTACTTAAATCATCTGATATGTATCGATCTTTTTCATTTATTTTATCTTTGTTTATTTTTTTTTATCACCGAGACGATGATTCTTTCGCGTCTCTTTAAATAACGCCCGCTTTTGGAACAACGGGTCAATTGATGTCGACATGCTTAATTTTCCTTTCAAGACACCATGACGCGTTAGACGCACACGCGCGGACGTTGCTCCATTCACTTATCTCGTCATCCGCCGCTCCCTTATCGACCAGTGACGCAGTAGTTTTTTAATCACATTCCGTGGTCGTTATCAAGTTGGTCATAAGAATCGGTGACACGCGAACGACAACATTTTAATCCTTACGATGCAGTTCCTTCAAGGTCTTCGCGTTTCCAAGTCTCGTTGAACTACTTTTCGAAATAATAAGAATCGCATTGTGCGTCTAATTTCCATAAATTTACTCCCCCCCCCTTTCCCCCCATTATCGCTCCTACATTCGTTAGTCTTGTTGCGCGAATTTCATTAACTTTGTATGACGTTATCGATCTCATTCGAAAACACTTAACGACTTGTACCAGGTGAGTCTATAAATTTATTCGCATTTATTACACAGGTACCTTCGTCGTGATCAATTTCTACGATATAGATGGAATAAAAAGAACATTTCGGTAAGAATAGACTATTGTCACGATGAAAAATATTTGTGATTCAACGAGAAAAAATCAATCATCTGTATTTGTAACAATTATTGTTACTTGTTTTATTTTAAGATTTCTCAGAGACACAACCCGATGTCATCGTCGACTAACGTCGGGTTGTCCTATTTTCTATAATGTGGCTATTCAAAGTATCAGGCTCCAAAACGAACGTACCTTCACCGAATTATAATGTGAATGGAAAGAAGGTTGCGCTCGGTTTTGTGTCTGTGGTCCAAAATTGCTCTAATGAATTTACTCGACCTGTTAAAGCGGAAGTACAGGGAAATATATATATAAAAAGAAAGAGAAAAAGAGTAGAAAATCGTGGGGATGTAGCGCGGCGGTCAGCAAGCATTAAAAACTGTGCTGACGCATTGATCACTGTATTGTCTACGATAAAACCCTGGCAACATTTTACTCTCGAGCGGTATGTAAATACCCGCCAGCGAATTTAATCCGTCGCGAGGTTGTGGCGTAAGAGACCAGTATATTTTTATGTATTTTGTATAAAAACACCCTGAGAATCGGTTTATTCGCGGAACGTTGAGCATTTTTAAAGAATCGTGAAAACAAAAGACGAGAACAAGTTGAGTAATGCGCGAATTATACGTTATGTTACAACATGCTTCTTCACAATTTACATCGTCTGCAATGTGTATCTTTTTTATAGGTCCGCAAACCATCTTCTTTTGGGCACCGGCCTTCAAATGGGTTAGTAATAATCTTCTTTTATCGATACTACCGACCGACCTATTGTAGTATTCCGATAGATTAAACTAAGCGGGGTTACAACATGAATTGAAAAGGTCCGGAATATTTAATCGAGTCGACATGAGCGCAGCTTTAAATTGTTATCTCTCATGATAAATATTTCCAACCACGCTTGTGCGTTATTTGTATTTTTCTTTCGATCTCCAAATACAATTCCTATTTGCCCGATTCATCCTCGTCGATGCTCTGTCACATGATTGAATAACACGATATTACGTATGCGGCACATTGCTGATACACAAACCAATTTTGCCTCAAGGTAGTCACTACGTAATGTATGTTGGCAAACGAACGCGCGCTACAGAAATATTTCGAACGCTATTCATATTCATTTCGTATTATATACGATTCCTTCGTAACTGTGACTTCACAATAATTACAGCAGAAATGTATACACGCGTTTTTATTTTTAACGAAAATATCTCGTTCTTTGTAAAAATCTTGGATATCATAAAACAGGCATGGGAACAACTCACTCCCTTTTCTCACTTTTTTCTTATTTGATTTGAACTTTTTCGAAAATAAACCCCGGTCGCAAGATATGTTCAATAACTAGCTTCTTTAAAAACAAAATAAAAAATTCAAAAACAATAGAAAATAATAATGATTCTGATGACATAATGTCCGTAAAGTGAAAAATTGCGATTTTATTTGTAAGTTCTTTTTATCAAGTTTATCAGAAAGACAGATAACAATTGTCATGAGCATATTTGACTTGAAAGAGTGAATATACCGCGTTATAATGCCTTTTTTTTCACGCCGAGGAAAAATCTACTTTATATCATATCCTCTGTGCAATTTGCAGGGGCTCGTAATCGCCGGTCTCGGTGATTTGCAGAGGCCAGCGCACAAAATCTCCATCAGCCAGTCTTGCGCCTTGGGCATCACCGGATTGATCTGGACGAGATATTCCTTAGCCATCATACCGCAAAATTGGAATCTCTTTAGCGTGAATCTATTCGTCGCGTGTACAGCCATATATCAAGTATCAAGAGCCTTGATGTAATTATCTCTATGTGACTTCTGAAAGAATTTGATAAGTTTCGTTTGACAAACGCACACATTTACGTTTCAAAAGTTTTAAATTTCTACAAGCACCATTTCTACGGCATATCTTTTCTATTTCTTTTATATTCAGAAAAAATCTGAAGTAAATACGAATTCCCAGTTATCTTTATAGACGTTACTACGAAACTTCTATCAGTATCAGTGATATTAGTTAAGTAAATGAATGTGCCAACTTTTCCTGTTTTTCTCGATCGCGCATACGTTACTTCTTGCATTATTTATATCGTTTAATCTCACAGGGCATTGCATTTCTAATGCGATTATTATCAACTGCTTTACGTAGACTTTGACCTCACTGTATTAATATTTGTTTCCAGGTACCAACGTCAGCAAGCTGCTCTGGAAGCATCAAAGGTGACCTCGTCAGATCCAGTTCACTGACGATAATCCATGGTGGTACACATTCCTAGGGGACGAAATTTAAAATATATAATTCATCGCTACTTCGCGTCTCAATGAGACGTTTGTGTCTTATCAATTAGCACGTTGGGAACGAATCGTTTAGTAACGCGACGTCTAGCGTATCTGACCAATGTATCTTAATTGCGATCGAGACGATCGTGAGACAGACTAGTTGTTAAACTTACCAACTAATTTCAATTTCTTCAGAAACGTGAAGAAGACATGGTACAGTTGTATTATTTGTTTTGTTGTTATTGTATTATGCGTTTGATCTGTCGACGATTCTACGCTATAGACGAGTAATATGTATCCCTGAACGAAGGGTACTCGTAATGGCAAACGTTCTCATTCATCACAGGACAAGTTGAAAAAGACGTCATGAGGTTTTTACGCAATGTTTACGTTTTGGGCTTTCTGTGCCAAACTGTGATACGTGTGACATACGGTGTTTCATCGTAACGTCTTTTTGTCGATTCTCCGTGCGATAAACAAATACGCTCTATGCTGTAACGATTACAATACGATTGAGTAAAATATGTGAAACACGAGACGATAAGTCGGTAGAGGACATAACGGGCACTGGATTCGCGTGTACCGTATTGGATACCGTTGCACGTTGTTTATCGTTGTTACGACTTGTATATAACATTAACTTAACATACACCTTCAGTTGTCACGCGCCACGTGCGTTCTACCTCGTATTATAACGATGCTCACGGTGCTTCCGCACGACATATCGGCGTCACGCGACACCTCGGAAGAGCGGACAAATGTACAAAGCGTATACTTTATTCGATAATTGTTGTAACTGCCTCGCTCTGTGGTCGGTTGAAATAAAGTACGGATATTTTTAATATCGCTGCGTCGTGAAGTGAAATAATCTGATGCCGACGTGACAATAGCCGCATGCGAATTTTTCGACGTGTTTAACAGCTAGCCAGTTAACGGTAAGTTAACGGTAAGTTATTAGGCGACCAAATATGACTGCTAGTTTGGCTGTTGCAACATGGTTTCTTAAGTATGGAAAGGAACGCTCGATATCGCGCTTTAATATAGAAGCCAATACTAATAATCAACGTCCACTTATATGGTTCACAACTGTTAAGTACAAAGATATTTCGTGTCGCCAAATGGAAAACGCGAGGTAATTCGATTAGTGAACTTCATTGAGTTTCCGCGAATCGACGATCTTTATCGTATCATTATTTGACGATCGTGGATATCTCGGCGATACGATAGAGATCCCGTCGAGTGCGGGTACAGTTGTTAAGCTTGGGATTTATGTTATCGAATAAAATCGTTTCCTATAAAATCCGAGCTATCTCGATTGCTAGCAATGGTGCCATCGTTCGTTTTACGTCGAGGGAAAAGAGAAAAAATATCTGCACACGCGTCTATTTATAAAACGGAAGCCTATTTTTACGTTGATAAACTTCTGGCTCAGGTTAGATACTATCGATGCATCATTAGTCGTTTTTAACCCCGAAAATATTTGCCATCTTTTATCGTTTTATTTTTAGAAGATACTATGCATTTTTCCTTCCCTCTCTCTCGCGCTCTTTTTCTCTCTTCTTGCCTATCCATAAAGAGAAAAATATATTCACCGTCTTTTCCTCACAATAGACACCTCAATCGCAGCTTCGAATCAATCATCTAAAGGATCGATATCCATTATTCGGCGAATCGTCGCACGTTTTTTCGCAAATATCATCTCATCGTCGTCGTCTCTCTCTCTCGCTCACAACATAATTTATACCCGGAGAGAGCAGGCGGCGCTCGTCGCGTCGTGGAGCGTGCAATCGATGCTCGCGACGCAATAACTCGCCGGTCGACCGCGCAAGGCCACGGCGGCGGTAGCGTCGCGGCAGCTGCGCTATGAGAGTTGCGCGTGTGCACGTGCGACATACGCAGTCTGTGGTAGCGCTGTCGCGAGGACGGACGAGATAACTCAGTATTCGTCGTCACTTCGGTCCCGCGAGGGCTTCGTGACGGTCGTGCTCGATTTCACGACTGTACGAAAGCGAGGAACGTCATTCGGCCGAAAGAGGGAGTGAGAGGAAAAGAGAGAAAGAGAAGAAGGAAGAGTACCGCATCCAGCGAGCTTGCCACACCGTACGTCTCACGATGTTTTCCGGCCTGACGAATCAGGTGTCCAATTGGATGGGCAAGAAGCCCGAGAACGGCGGCGAATTGCCTGCCGAGCCCAAAGCCGCGTCCCCGGAAGCCGAGATCGGCGGTGATCTCGAGAAAAAGAACAATACCAGGTACGTGCGCCATCGTACTGCGTTCTGCCCGTAACCTGTCACACGTCGTGCTCGCGACAGCCCGATATATCCGTCCGTTGATCCGCGCTTGTGCGCGTCCCTCTTTCGCTCTGTTATCGTTCTCGGAGGCTTCGTGTGATAATGCGTAGTTGTGCACACTGTCACCGATTCGCCGCGGAATCGTGCGTGCGCGCTCGCGCCGTATGTCATGACGTTAGCCGCGAGTCGCGCACGGCTTACGCGAAATCGATCCCGTTGCCGGATACTGCGTTCGATACTTCGTGCGATGCATACGTCACTCCAAACGTCGATGGCGAGGATTTGAGAGATCGGTAGGTCTATTCGCAAGTCGATTTGCAACGAGGTCGCAATATTATATGTCCGGAAAGGGAAGCGAGAACGGCGTGTCGCGCTACGTCCGCCGCGGATAAACACGACGGTGTCACTTCGCGTGTTTACAGCGTCCGAAGTCCGAGCGAGGTGACCCCCCTCTGAGTCGGATCGGACTATCGTGAACGAAACAATGGCGGTTTCGTTCTGCGCTTGATAGATCGCGGAAGTCGCGGTACGCGGGCGTCGTCGTTCTCCCCTTCCGGAATCTTCAATCGAGACACGCACATTCAGATGTTATTCAGCACGTAATTTTTTTTCCTTCCTTTTCGCTCGTTCTCTCTCTCTCTCTCTCAGTCAATGTTTACACGCCACGCCGCCGTTTAAAAGCAGCGGCACAATCTCCTCCTCGCCGGATGCATTTTCGAGATTAGATCAATAACGTCCGACTTACGTAAAGTAGCGCGACTCCCCTACGACGTCTCGCGCGATTCGACGATGGATTTAATCGCAATACGCCAGCGAATCTGCGTTCTCGTTTCCGCTTTTTTCTCGGCTGTCAGTCTCCTCCTTTCTAGAGAGAATATCCTGCCGGGAGAGTATCGTTCTCTTTTCCCTCTATCGCGACTCGAACATACATATTTATCTCGTCTTATGCACAGGAAGCGTAAGAAAGTAGGGCTTGAGGTAACAGTAACTGTGCATAACGCTCTCGCGATAGTTCCATTCTTCCTTTTAGTTCGCGCCGATTCGAGCGATCGATTAAATTGCAACGTACACGTAGGAAGTTGCAAGTAGCAGACCGAACAGCCCGGTTTCGTTAAATTTTAAATCGAGCAATCTTAATGAGCCAAGCACGGAGTGTCGATAACTTTGACAACGTGGTAACAACTTTTACTTCGTTCTTGCCGAAACTTTTATCGTGCGACTTGGTCCACTTGTGTTGCAAACGCTTCGGTTGCGGCAAGCAAATCGATCGATAGACGGATGGACGGACGGACGGACAAATATTGGTTATGAATATGCGCAGTTAAAACACGAACGATGCGTAGAATCGACGAGACTTTTTGAAAAGCTCAAACTGCGTCAAAATTTTCGTCACTTCGACGATGGGATGCGCGGATCGTGTGTCGCGACAGTAGCTGTGAAAAATCTTAACGAATGAACGAACGAGCTTCGCTCATGCAGCAGCATTCGCGATAACCAGCATGATGTGTCGATACGCAAACGTGTCATGTTATCATGATACGCGTAATGATAATTTTTTACGTTTTTACATACCTCGGTTGCGCGGTTAATTATGACGCAGCGTTCGATAACGCGCAACGCTATCGTATACGATGTGCACCCGGCTGCATAATTCAATAGTGTATGCCATCTGAGTCGACTGATTGACACGCGTGTTGCAGTTAATAATTTCACGCAAAAACAAATGTGAAAGCGCCCGCAATAATACATTAATGTGTATCGACAGGCGGTGTGTTTGATTTGGAAATGTAACCAATCACGATCTTCCTCTCGCCTTGCCCCCTCACCCGCTCACTCTTTTCCTCCGCCTCTCTTTAATTTAAAAATTAACGTTTAATTAATGACATATACGTTTAAACACGCGTATATATACGTTTAAATCCACACATATGTACAACCAATTCGCGTTAATATCACCCTGCCATTTCAAATTATCATGACACGATTCATTAGTTTATTTCATCGTACGTGTACTTTGAAACGCATATAATTGGCTGTGTTCGGTCTCGAAATGCAGTAAAATTCTCTCCTGTCTTTTCTGTCGCGTTCCTCTTATTACGGTTCACGGCCGGGCACGCTTTTCAACTTTTTCCACGCGACGTACGCGTATTACCATGTAGTACATGTGGCAGCCAGCGCTTTGACAATTGACAATCGATTTCGACGAATTGATGCTCTCGTAAATGGTGAGCATTCTTTCACGCGATTTCAATTTTCAACAGCGTGTGTTCATAAACTACGTGTTCCAATTGTATTTGCCGGGGAATCATGCGTGTGTACTAGCGACGCGCGTCAAATGTCAGTGCACACTTATCGACCGTACATTCGTACGAAATCAATCCGCGGCAGTAGTGTAATGCTCCATCGTTCGATCGACGTCCACCTGGCGAATATACGTGTATATATATATATATATATAATATATATATATATACACATATACATATACATATATATATATATACATATATAATATATATATATATATATATTATATACGGTCATACGTGGAATTTGCGAAATGGAAACTGCTGTGCTTTATTCGCAGTAACGTCCATTCGTACGCAACAAACTGTTTGCTTCACTTCTGAAAACTCGATCTAGCATTTACGCATCGTGCAATTTCATGCCGGAAAACTCCAGCGACTCGCCAGAATCAAGTCGAATGATGAGTTTTCTTTTCTTATCAATTAATTCTTATTAATTACTTCTTGGAGCTTGACGAAAGACTTCTTAATACTCGGTTATGTATTACAAACTAAAAAAAGTCACAGAATTATGACGAGAATTATGATGAACGTGGTGTTTTAATTAAACGTAGGAAATACAGTAGAGCAAGTATTAATTTTTTCTTCGCAAATGAAAATCGCGTGATTGTTATATTTTCCCCCGTTTATATGTAATGTACCTAAGTCTTGGAACGTGTTCTTAGTACGTGCTAACATGAATACAGAGACGCGAAATTATTATCGTCCCATTATGCATGTAAATTAAGTTGTACGACCTCTGCCAACTCGCATTACGTAATGCATTTCGAAATTTTCGGTTGTTTTATCCATTTTGTCGAAATTCATAATTGGAGAATTTTGCTTCTCACTGTTTTCCTGTAAGTTCTTTGACTAGTAATTAGCGATATTGTTACCATGACGGTATCCCGTATATAAATTACTGCTTCTACTGCTCTCTCTCTCTCTCTCTCTCTCTCTCTCTCTCTCTCTCTCTCTCTNGACAGGACATTAAATCTTGATTTTGGCAAAAAAAGTTTCCAAACGAGACAAACTTTTACGCGACAGAATTCGGGAAAGTTATTAAAAAGGTCACGTGTTTTTATTTTCACTCGAGCTCATAATTTATTGTTAATTATAATTTTCAAACATAATTTTTTTGCTAATTCAATCCCATTATGTGTCACGGTTATCGCATAACACGATAATTACGCTGATACATTAAAATTTGCATCGCACACATTCGGCGAAATATCTCTTCATTATTCACCACATTTCGTGGAATCCCTTTTGCCTAGAATTCTAGTTTAAATTCATACCCCCGTAACATCCGGAGTTCTTCTTGCAGTCCGAAAGGCAATAAACTGGAAATGTTCGCCGGAGTGAAGAATCAAATGTCCGGCTGGTTGAGCGGCGGAATACCTGGATTAAGCCGCGGCGCCGGGGCCGGCGAGGGTGAGGCTCCGCCACCGACTGAGACAGAAGAGAGCAGCCAGGTTCCTCAAGAGATTCAGGCTGCTCCCGTCGGCGAGCAAGTAAAGGATGACGATGCAAGCAGGTGGGCTTCAGAGTATGTGGCATCTATGTGTTTCATGTTTCGCTATTGGGTTGAGTCATAAATATAATCTTTGTCCTCCTTTCTTTTTCCTCTCTTAACATACTATATTTTACAATACAGTCCAACTCAACGTGTAACCCAACGTCCTTCTATTACTATGTTATATCCTCCGTTATTGTGATTATTATATCCTCTATTATTGATAATTTATCCCCACTAGATAGTAGATAACTTGGATAGATGTTTAGAAAAAATATTTATTTTCAGTTGGGAAATTTTTGTTATTGTACTGCGAATGTTTACACGAATATATACATTTGTCGTTAATTTGTTCATCTTTATAACAAATATGTGATTTTATATCTACTTACGGGCTAAGATACGTCCTGATTTTATGTTCGTCGTATTTCCCCGTTTATCTTCCATCAAAATGTATATTTATATAAACATTCGCAGTCTATTTATGACTCGACCTGATATTACCGGTTGCGAACACGATGCGTTGTTCGTCCTTGAGTGAGACAAACAATGGCGCGCACAAAAAAATATTTTCACAGTGCAACTGGCGGGGCAGACAGCGGACCGGCTAGTTTAGAGGGTACCCCGACTGACGACAAGAACGGACAGCAAGCTTTCGGTGCCGGTGAGTCTCGATATTCTTTTTTTACTCTACGGCGAATATCCGTCCCGATTGGGACAGCAGGTGACACACTATCGCGTGTATCGCCATTCTTTCATCCCCGTACCAACCTCTATCCGTGGTATTAATGTTCGACTCGGGTGCGAAGATCGATGGTCGCGCTCCAGCGGAGAAATCACTTTGAATGCTATTTACGTTGTTGCTCGTAGGATTAAAGTGCCTTACGCGATATTTTTCATGAGACTTGCCTCCACTGCGAATCTCGCGGTATATATCACTTTAAACGTGTCGACGTGCCGCGCCCGCGCTCGTGTATAAAACACATCGTGCGCTCTTAGATTGTTTCTAGTAGATAGACGAAATTGGAAGAGCGTGTTCGTTGGAAAACTGAACGCGCGTTACCTCAAATATTGGCTTTTGGTCTTTGGCTGTAGCGCGTGAACACTCACGCACGTACGGACGCGCACTCACGTATATTCAAAATCTCGTGCCATTGCCTGGTACTTTAAATATTTAATAAAGTATCCGCGCAAAGAGAAACTATATTCGATTCTAACCGCAATTTCAGTTCCGTCTACACGTATTTGCTATGTCAGAGAAAAATTAATCGGTTCTTTAACTTCGTCCTGCTCTGAAAATTGTATATTGGATGGGAACTTTTAATTAAATCCTAGTCTGTGTAAATATATGAGAAAGAGGAGATGCTGAGAAAACCAACACAAAAGTAGCGTTGACAAAGATTGTTCTCTTTGTAGCATAAATAGAAGATAAATGAAATACGTAATGTTTTTATCCATCGCGCTAACGACGGAGAATTTCCCATTTAAAAATTAAAAATGCCCGCCAACATCGATCGCGACTATTTAACGCGTAGAGAACACTCGCGCGCACGCGTCTCGTGCTCATTTCGGCGTTTGTTCGCTCATTCGATCGTTCGTTCTCGCGCCGCGGTATAATAGAGATTTAATTATCTGAATACGCGAAGCAGCGTGTGCGTATTTATCGATGAAATATTTCACGCTTTGCAAGAGGGCAATTCGGCGCGCTTTTGCTGTCGCGGCGGTGAATGGTCAAACAATTATAAATTTATAAATGCACGCATTATCGGTCATTGCAAACGGTTCCTGCTAATCGGTCTTCGAATAATTCACGATTTCTCAAAGACGAGATTTCGCCTATCACGACCTTTGCGCACGGAAAAACACTGATTTGTGCGAATATACACGTTCATATTTCATACTATACTATATTCGCTATTCGTTCATTGTTCGTTCGTTCAGTGTGTGCTCACCTTTAGACTCGACGAGGGCGATTTTGAACGAGATTTTTTCTTGTCGCACGGTGCACGTTTAATATTTATTCGTTTCAACGGTCTCGGATTAATGCGTGAATAACGCTTTTCATGATATCCCGACAGTGTTGTTCGGATACTTCGTTGTTACTCGTAACAGACCGGGGTATTTGCGTCGGCGAATAATGATTTCTTTTGAAGTAGGTCGTGCTTTGTTATGCCCCCGTGGTTTACAGAGAATCCATTCGCCTCGCTCCTCGAAAATTCCCTTTCCCACTATCACGAACTCGAATATTACGAGTAACCTCTTCCTCCGACTTACGAAGATACATCGTTATGATCATCGTTTTGCGCGCGTATTGTCGTTGAGGACGATAAAAGGAAGACGGTCGCGAGTTTTCCACTCGCGCGTTTACGCATCTTATTGTTTCGCACCAACTTCGCACGTGTAACGAACCGTGTTTCATTCTGCAAGAGCTCGCGCGGTATTTTTTAGAGGAGGAGGAGGCTTGTGAACAGGGAGTTCAAAGATGCGAAGCAGAAAATACAGGCGCGAGCGTCGCGCGAATTCGAGGAAAAGAGACCTCGGGGCGCGACTCGAGTCTCGTTCGCGAATATTCCAAAATATTCCGAAACCTCGGCACGTCACCGTGTGGAGCCGCGACTTTCCGTCGTTGAAATGAAATATGCTTGGTATTCGTCCGAATTGCCAGAATACTCCTGCATAAACGGGCTTTTCGGCGCGGCGAATTCTGCGAATTTACGAGAGTGAAACTAAAACTGCAGCGCACTTAAACTCGAATTTATCGCGAGTGCTGCCGTCGACTCGGCCGAAATCGGCATGTGAGATATTTATTCGTAATCGGACGATTTTATGACGCTTTTATTTAATCGCTGTTCCGATGCGGGATAAAGGTATTTGCGTCACCGCGATGCAATATTAATTATTTCAACTCGCAAAGACGCGCGACGGGTGAGGGAGAAACAGTTTAGTAATTATACCGTGTCATTTTAAAGCGAACCGTACCTTTCCTCTAGAGAACATTCTTATAACACGCCGATATTTCTCCATTCGCGTTTCACACGCAAGCCTCGCGAGAGTGCGCGTTAAACAGATTAATAAATTAAAAATCCTTCAAATTAACTCCGAATAATTGTAGCGAGTCGCACAATCGCTGGGTTAATTTACCTTGATCGCCGGTCCTTTGATTACGCGCCCCGCTGAATCCGCCCTGCTGCCGTCGCCGGAAAATTCGATTTCTGCCACGAGCGGTTATAACCCCGGCCTGTACACGTGCGCAGTACAAAACGACACAACGCGACGATAGCTGTTTTCCCACATTTTCTCGAAAATTACCTTTGTATCATTTATGGCGGCCTTTATTGCGCGATAACCTTCTTGTAAGTAGCTTCGAAAACGTACAATACACAACGAAAATACGATACCTCGAAATTATACGTATTCCTCGCACGATCTCGCATAGGAGAAGTGTTTTATTCTCTCTTGTGGTCGGGACTCGTCGCTATCCACGTATATATGTCGCGTATTCTTATTTGCAAATAACAGAGGGCATAGTACGTCGCAGTTAAGACTGTTAACTCGTTAGCTGCATGGTGAATTTTGTATGGCTCATTATCTACGCCACAATAACAGTCTTATTATCACAAGCACTTAACGCAAACGTATAATATGATAAAATATGATTAAATTATATAATTAAATTAAATTATGTCATCATACGTGGTAATTCATACCTAACAGGGGTTCACTCTATAAATTTCGTTGCAAGACTACTAATAATTTTCTTGCGATTGTACGAATTTTTCTTAATTTATTGTCCGTGACAACGTTTTTTGTTTTGCCGGAAGGTTCGACATATAAGAGAGAGAGAGTGTCATTTGCTCGTTCAACTTGGCGTTTTCTCTGCGTACATGGTGGCGAAGCGTTTACAATGGCATTATCGGAAATCGTATTTTCTCTCTTCGAGCGGTCTTGCGGACAAAGAGGAAGTCGCAAAGGCGAAACGATTAAACGCCATCGCTTAAGAGAAATTTTCAGTCGACATCTCTCTCCTTTCTTCGTTCTTGCGTTGCGAGCGAGGCAGTCTGATGTTCTTGAAGTCGATAGTTATACAACTCAATGTATTTGATCGCCTCGGAAATGCGCGCGCAAAGGTCGGTCGACGCGGAATATTTAACGAAGTTTAAACCGGCGATTAGATGATCTATATACCTTGGTATGATGGTCTGAATATCTTTGTGTTCCTGAAATATCTTGTACGTGTAAATGATATTTGCAATAGCCGCGAGCGTTATTTAAAAATTCACGGTGGTCGAGGTAGAGGTCGGTGTAGCTTCAATTAGAGCTTTGTTCTTATTTATCGAAGCAAACGCGTCTCTCTTGTCACGCGCAAAACGGATTTCGCGACACGTTGTTTCGCACAAACAGGATGCCACGTGGCATTGTGGTATCCATCGATCGAATCGATGCATCGGCCCATGAAATCTGCACCTCAGCCCAGAATTCTGCTCGGGCGTTGATATAGTAATCGTATTGGTGCAATCGATTGTGAAATCTCTGTTGCGGTATTCATACTAACAATAAAGTATTCGAGTGTGGTGGCTACAATATTTACCATAGGTTTGGAGAAAATACTGTCTATCCTTCTCTCTCTCTCTCTCTCTCTCTCTCTCTCTCTCTCTCTGTCAAAAATTGAAGAGAATATTTCATGTCAACGCGGTGAATATTCCGGAATATATGAACCGAGGCTGTATTATTCATTTGCTTTTGATATTCAATAAAAAAAATGTCGATTTGCAGCATATTTAAATTCATAGCTCGTGTCTGTTTTTTTCTCTCGATTTGATCACTTAACGAGCGCGAATGTGCCTGATTGCAAGTGAAAGAAAGAGGTCGATATATCACTCACAGACGATTACCACGCCTCAATCCCGAAAACTCCTCTTGCTTTTGAATGAGCAATTACCGCGCAAGAATGGAATATCCGTGTGTTGTCTGCCTAGAAAGATCAGACACAGGAAGTACAAATCGAGAAAGTGTCAAATTTCTAAGCGCGAAGCACGGTTGGATCCCGCTATTCTCGACTTTGCCTCGGCTTTTTTCAATCTCGCGACTCCGTGATATTTCTTTATCCGCTGAATCGCAGCATGAATCGAGCGAAGATTAATAAAATAGGAAGATAGAGAGAAAGATTGACGAACGTTGAATGAGCGAGAGAATAAGCAAGCTCGATGGATTCGTCCTTGGTTTGGGACTTGCACACAGGTAGATGCACAGTCAAGTATCATCTGTGTCAGATAAACCGTCGAAGAGTCTTTAGGTGTACTTATGTAAAATCAAATAGCTATTAAAAAAATAAAATGCTTCGATCGGCGGCGATTTAACGCTCTCGTCTTTCACGACTTGCATTATCAATCCGCGACCGGTCGCGCTGTGCGATCTCGGTCACGTTCGTATTTGCATAACGGTAAAAAGCCCGCATTACTTTCTTCAAGCGCAAATATCGGCGGATTCTCACGTTGATTTCTCTCGCTGATGATCGCACTTACGTAAACGTCAAAGGGAAAGTGCGCGTCGCGAATATTCCAATCGAGATAACATCAATCGCAATATGCGGATTAATTCAGCCGGAGTTAAAGAGAGACAGGGAAGAAAGGGAGAGAGAGATTATACCAGAAGGTGCCGGGAGTG